ATAAAAATATCCCCCCCCCCCCCCCCCCCCCCCCAACAAAACAAACGAGTATCCACAAACAAATACTGCAGAATTGGAATGTGGATTTTAAACTGGTTTATTTAACCGGCCCAATTTAAATGTCTGAATTGGTCAGAGGAAATTAGACAGTGAAAGGAAGCCTTTTTGTTTGCAACGTGCAAGCAGATAAGTTTGATTTAATAGTTGGCGAATGTGTCCTTGGGCCCCTGTTGTTCATGGCACAGAACTTTCCACCCACTGCGAGTGGCTTTTTAAAGTCTCTGTTCTCCATCTTGTCCACGAGCTGCCATTACGCAGACCGAGATGGCGAGTAGGGTGGCTTTTCTGTGTGTCCTTACCCCTGTCTCCGCCCCCCCTTTGGCCATCGCCGTGGCAACAGGCAGCCATCAGTCTCAGGTACCTCTAGTCAACTTCCAGTGCACCAAACCCTTCTGAGCTGCCAGCCTCAAAGCGGTGTTTCAGTCCCCCACCCACCGAGAGCTTTCATCCCACATCTGCAGGACACACACGTTCCAAAGTGGTCCCCCCCACCCCATGTGCCTGACAGCTGGTGAACCCTCATCTCCTCCCCCACTGGCCCCTCAGCACGAGCCTGGCTGTCACCTATGTGCTCACGCCCCCCCCCGTGTGCATCCGTTTGAGATCCTCCAGCCTCAGTTGGACGGTTGGTCAAGTCTCATTTTCTAAAAATTTTAAACATTTTGTTACAAAACTTTTTTTTATCATGATGGTGTGGATAAGGCAGAGGTAAATGAGTGAGAGAGTAAAGGTTCGTATCACGTGTAGCGCTCGTGTCGTGCGTGTGATGACCGCGTGTCTGCGAAGAAAGGGAGAGGAGCCTGTTCGGTCACTTTGATGGTGAGTGGTGTTTGCGTGTGACAGTGTACTGAGCTCTGGCAGTGAGCCTGTGCAGCCAAGCAAGATGGAGAAATCCTAGGAAGAGGAACATTAACCGGAGGATTTCAGGACATTTCTCCCCGAGCCAGCTGTGATCCGCCGTCGCCCCTTGCCTCTTCTGGAACCTTCCCTGCCGTGTCTAACCCTCTGCACTTTACCGCCGTGCACATGAAACGTGGCGAAGGGCGGGAGAGCGAGGAGAGTGCCTCCCTGGAATCCGAAGCGTCGCCCTGGGGGGGGCAGGGCGGGGCTCTGCATTAGGGAGGGAGGAGGAGGAGGGAATGCTGGCGGTGAGGAAGACGGTGCAGCTCTTGGGAGTGCATCCTCAGCCAGAGCTGGTCTGGCGGACTCCAGAGAGTGGGGGGTGTCCTCTTCATGGTGCTCTCCCCCATTCAGACCTTCTGAAGCGATCTGTCGCAAGCCCCTCCCTGCCTTGCTGGACTCCGCCCCCCGCCCCTCATTAAAACACGGGCTGTTCTGTCCTTTATATCGGTTTCCCATTTATTAACTTTTTTTTTTTTTGGTTCTATTGTATGACTCTCCCTTTATCTTTGTTATATAGAAATGCACTTTCTACTAAAATCATTGCTAGTTCAAAGAAAAGAAAAAAAAACAATACTGAGTTCTATTCTTTAAAGATGTTTTAAAAAGCAATCTACTTTTTATGTATTTTTAACCACTTAATGTAGCATTGTGTATTTTATTCTGGTGAGTGTCTGGTACCTGTCGTGCAGCTTTGCGGCTGTTCCGTGCTCAGAGCAGCAGGCGTGCTGGGCCTTTTTGATAATGTGCATTTAACAGACTTTATGCTAACTTTCAGAGTAAAACAAGTAGCCATAATTATGACCCCTACTGTGTTCCGCCTCTTTTTCCCCTCTCCCTCTCATTATGGCCGTTTGACGCGTCCCCCCGCTGATCCCAAGGCTGCCAGAGGCCGTCTCTTGGCCGTGTCACGGCACGGTTACTAAAGTTGATCGGAGCGTTGAATGTACGTTAGCCCATTAGCCTGCGTGATCCTGTCATAGTCAGGACTGATGTTTGGGTGAAGTGGTTACTTTAATTTTCGGGGACCTATAACATAATTATTTTAATTTTTTTTTACAACACTGGTTGAATTGTGAGAAAGTTAGTGCTCCCATTCCGACATGCAGTACTGAGAACATTAAACTGGTTTACTGCGAGATCGCACTCTCCTCTTTCCTGTTTTCGACTGCAGCCGCGCTGCATGTACCGTGTGCTCTCTGTTATCGTGGCACCTCACACGCCACGGCATAGCTTTCGAGAAGGCGTCTGGCACAGAGCCGCGGGCCGTTGCGTCATGTCAGACGAAGATAAGGTCAGCGAAGTCGAAGGCTTGGGGGGCGACGTCGTCGCTGGGGTTGCTGCCTGGGGGGGCAGCGTTTGCACCCAGGACCTGCTCTGCCATGGGGAGGCGCCTGGCCTTTTGTCTTGGAAGGACTCGCTCAAATGTCTGGTGCAGATTAAAGTCTTATACTAAGGTCTTCCTGTGGGACTGGATCTCAGCAGGAAGCTGTTTCTCTAACTGGGTCAGGAGCCGTCGGCACAGTGGCAGCGCCGAGTGAGTTGGGTACCGCCCGAGCCATACCGAGACGAATGATTGGCCCAGGCGAATGTCAGCACCCGCTCTCTCTGGGGACTGAGCCCCCGCGGTGGGGCAGACATCTGCACGGGTCGCTCACAGCAAGCAGGAAGCTCTGGAAGGTGTAAAGAGTAACTCTAACATGCAGACGATTTCTCAGCGTTACAGGAAATATGCAATCGAGAATTTGACATGAGAAAACCTGCTGTGGGCAGAGCCTGTCCATAAGTGGGTTTCTATGGTAACGGTGTTTACACCTCGTGGGGAGAATGACAGCGACTCCTGTTTGTTAGCAGTGTACGTGGAGGAGGGGTTGTGGTGAGATAAGGGCAGTAAGTGGGCCACCCACCCAGCCTGTAGCCCCACTGCTGCTGCTGTTAGGCTTCCTGCAAAATTTCTATAGACTTTAATGCGGCGTGTTATAAAAATATCCCCCCCCCCCCCACCCATGTTACTGCAAGTACAGGTTGAGTGCAGCAAGACTGAGTCACCACTGTCTGCGTGTGTTGGGGGGGGGGGGGTCAGTCTGATAACATTGAGTGGGTGAAGTGTAGATGATCTGTCTGCCTCTGCTGTTCCTAGCTGAGGGTAGCCTGTTGGGGTCTTGCTTTTCCAGTACCAGGGGGAAGCAGGGAACCCCCCCATACATACATACACACACACACAGCAGGCTGAGGAACAAAGTGCACATGGCCCCAATGCCACAGCTCAAGAGGAGCAAAATGCCTGGTAAGTACAGCCTCCCAGCCGAGGATGTGCCAAGGGAAAGGAATTACTATACAAAGTGTTATTAGAGGTGATGTGTGAAGCTGAGAAGGGGAGGTTTTGGGCCCCTGAACGTCAGGGAGCAGCATGTTGTCTGCTGGTGGGCTGATGCGGTGCCTTGATGGGCATGGAGGGCGTCCTGAGGCCCCGGGACACGAGGACGGCGTGGATACAAGGACATACGTAACTTACATGGTCGGGGAACATGATGCCAACGCAGCGCAAATTCTAACCCATGGGGACGTACCATCCACCTTAGGGAAACTCAGTAATTCTAGGTACAGTCCTGCATATGCAAACGCTATTGGGGGGGGTTGCAACCCCCCTCCAGTACTCAAAAACAACCCCCGGACGACTCAGACTGGGTGGAGACCTCAGCCCTCAAAATGCTCAACCCAGAGTTACTGTTTTGGATGTATACAGTTGGATTCTAGGGAAAATGTGGTTCCCGTGGTTTTACGTGCCCTAAATTACCAAGACAAAATGTACCTAAACCTTCAAATTAACCAAACAGGGATAAAATGAAACATACGGTGGAGTTTTATACCGCATTATATGTAGTTTAAAGGGGTTTCGTCATAGCAAAATGAGCAATACATGTGAACAAAAGAGACCGCTTTCTCAATCGATAAATGGGAAGCGGAACGGCAGTGACAGAGACACTTCTTGGAGAGGTGCACCCCCCCGTCCTTTAAAAAGAGCCTCGTAGGCGGCTCATCATTGGCCGGCGTCCCGGGTCGTCTCTCTCTCTCTCTCTCGCTCTCTCTCCCCCGACCCCCAGCCCATAAAACGCGCCGGGAGCGCTGCGCTTTCCCCGGAGAGCCGGAATGCCCCCGGAGCTGAGCGGAGCGGACGCACGCAGGACCGAATGCGGGACGCGAGGAAACTGCGCCGCATCATGACACTTTGACCGGCGTTTTTGCGCACTAACGGAGATACAGCGCGCGATGCGCGTTGCCCCGCCGGACCGGATCGCAGCCAAGTGCCGACGCCTCCAGCGTCTCTCCCGCCGGCATTTCACTTTCCAGCGGTGATTACTCGCTTGTTTTGTTTCATCGGACTTTGCTTGATGATTTAAGTGACAGCAAGTAACCTTTTGTTCAGTTGTTCCTGGAAACATTATTTAACACATACATTTATAATTTGTTTTAATAATACAGAGACAGAGTTTTAAGATTAGTTTTGTTCCGTAACAGTTTTGTTATATCCGACTTCGTACACTGCTTACCGTATTCCCTGTCGTGGGGATGCAGTGCCCTCGCAATTTAGTACCCAACTAAAGATGAAACCCTATCACAGTCCTCACGATACCATTTAGCACATGATGTTATAGCAAATAACGTGAAAATGGACGAATTCATCGCGTGCGGATTGGGACTTAATTTCCGTATTGTGACATCATTGGGATCTACCGCTTCTCCGTTTCGTAATTGCGTTTCCTTGTTCGTTTTTCGTTGCAGATTGTCCAGAGGACTGCAGATACACTAAATTAAAGGTTAGTAGCATAATTATGTAACCGTAACAGCTAGGATACTGTCACCATGTCTACTTCGCCACTGTATGTAACAATTTTGTTCATTGTATTTTTGAAGAATAATATTTGATTGTTTTACTGTTTTGTTTTTCCCAAATTAAAAGCCTTGTATAAGGTTTACCAAAAGTGCATACATCTGCATTATATTCACCGTACGGAGCGACGCAGAGACCGTAACAAAAACGAATTAATAGAGAAAAACATTGTGACTGCATAAATAAAATGCTGTATTAATTAGTCATACAATTTGTTATATAATTTGTGGTCCGGGGCAGGCTAGATTCACACAAGATAAAATCAAAGAATCATTAATATAACGAAGCAAATTTATATAGGGCTTTAAATTGCGGGTAAATGCACCAATATATGGTTTTTTATAAACCAGTAAAAAGCATATGCATTTCCGCTAGTTGGTCAACTGGTAAGTGGTAACCTACACTGTTTAATTAAAATGATATGCCAGTGTGGTGTTACACGTCCCACTAATAGAGAAAGTAGTACTCGGTAACGAATATCTAAAACATATATTCATATAGGAGTGACAATATTAAAGAATCTCTGGTTTTAGGTCTATGCAGCACAAACTGAACGTGTGAGTGTGAGCTGTAATTTAATACAAGTTAAAATCGCACATAGACGTCAGTGAGACCGTGGTACAGTTCACTGGAACAGTGATCTTATTCGATGATGAAGAGCCCCGTGTGGATGGGGTGATTAAAAAAACACTCCAGCGGAATATTGATGAAACGGGACCTACTATTATGGAATGGAGAAATTTTGATAGAGTTATATCTTCGAGTCACATGGGCTTTTTTATTGTACCGTCCAAAACCAAGTATACATTGGCACAAGATAACATTTCGCTATTAATATACGAAGTGTTATAAAAAAGAGCAAGTGATAATCAAATGATGGATCCACAATCATTTTAAAATGTGTACAAACACAGGAGAGAGCAAATGAAGGGGGGTGGGTTATGGCTACATCCTCCTGAGACCCAAGGAAAAAAGTGTCCTTCAGTTCTAGGTTAATTGTGATTTTCTATGTCTTGAAAACATAGATGCAAAAACAAAATGTCCACTGCAATGGACATAAATGAATGGGTGGGGTCTCAGGAGGTTATAGATAGTGAGCATGATGTGGTCGTGTGTTTTTGTGTGTCTGTTTTGCTTTATTTGACAATCCTTGTCCTTGTCTTGTGTTTCTCATCTTTTAAATTCTATTTCCACTCTTTCTTGCACTTCAACTTCTCTTCATGTTATTTCAGTACTATTTGTGAGCTAAGTTTTCCCAGAATCCCCGGCTCAGTACCCCCCCTCCACAGAGTGTCCACAGAGGGGGCCAATAAACACAAGGGAAAGGAGAGCCAATCACAGCGTCACTCGGTGTAGTAAGAACAGAGGCGGCCAATCATGCGGGACTCTGTATTCAACTGCTGCTTTCTCCCACCCCCTCCCCCAGGCGAGGTGGAAATCTTGAACCGGCGGCCTGGCAAAATGGCCGCTCCCGCAGACAAGCGCTTCTTGATATTTTTTGACTTTGACGAGACCATCGTGGATGAGTGCAGTGATGATGTGGTGGTCCAGGCTGCCCCCGGCCAGCGGCTCCCTGGCTGGCTGAAGGATACGTACCAACCCGGGCACTACAACGAGTACATGCAGCGGGTGCTAGCCTACATGGCGGAGCAGGGTGTGACGGAGCAGGCCGTCCGATCCGTCATCGAAAAGATCCCCGCCTCGCCCGGCATCCTAACCCTTTTCCAGTACCTGCGCACCCGCACCCAAGACTTCGAGATCGTGCTGGTGTCCGACGCCAACATGTTCTTCATCGAGACCTGGCTCTGCCGTGCGGGTGCCCGCCAGCTCTTCCTCAAGATCTTCACCAATCCCGCATCCTTCAATGAAGATGGCCGCCTTCTCCTGGGACCCTACCACGCCCACAACTGTCCCCGCTGCCCGGAGAACATGTGTAAGCAGGTCGTCGTGCGAGACTACCTGGCCAGGCGGATCCGGGAGCGAGGACGCCCCTACCAACACGTCTTCTACGTCGGAGACGGCGCCAACGACTTCTGCCCCTCGCTGATCCTGGGTCCCCGCGACACAGCCTTTGCTCGCCGTGATTACCCCATGCACAAGCTCATCATGGAGGTGCAGGCCGACTTCAAGGCTACCGTAGTCCCTTGGGCCAGCGGGGAGGATGTGGTGGCACGTCTGAGAAGGCTGGTGGAGGAGAAATAAAGCTTGAGGGCTGAGCGGATGGTGCGCAGTCACTGAAGGGCACAGACACACTTTCCCAGACAGACACAACCTCCCTGACTCACAGAATACATTACGTATTCGTGCCAGAGTGGCAGACAGCTATTCCTGTAATGAGATTCCACTCGCAGAAAAAAAGAGTAAAAATGTACCCTTGTATTTGTACCTTATAAGGTACAGAAGTGGACTCTGAGGAACATCCCAAAGGTTTGAACAGCATTAATGTACCATCAGTTGCACAGAAATGTTCCTCAGAGTCCATTTCTTTACTTTAAAAGGCAATTTCCTACAGCTAAGGTACAATTGGCAGACCTTTGAGGGTACAGCCCCAGTGACAAGCAAAGGTACAGAGTTTTACCCTTTTTCTGAGACTGTAGCAAAAATAAGCACAAGTATATAACTCAGGCGACCAGCTAAATCTGCAATAGAACAGCACTGATAAACCCCCACCTCCAAAAAAAATGGTTCCCTGAAATTATCAGTGTCTAAATGAAAACTCGCAGAGTCGGAACCCAATATAATCTAGGACCAAGTTTCTGTTGAATAAAAACAAATTTTGTCCCACACATCTAGGCTTCTTTACATAGTCAGTGTCATAAAGCCAGCAAACTGATTAAAATAATATTTTATCCTGTCCTCAGTTTCAAAGACTGATATCATGTCATATAAGCATGAGTACTGTTGGTAACCACGTTCAACCTCATACGTCTGATACTGCGATATCAGACAACAGCATTAGTGGTGTACTGCTTAGGTTAGGAATGACTATTAATCGGAATTGGAATGATTAAGAATAGAAATTGAAATCTAACCAGCTAACTACCCTAACTTTGTAGTTTTTTTTGTAATTGTGTAATGTAATTTAATAATAGCAAAACAAGTATAACTTCGTGATTTCTAGATGTCTTGAATCTATGAATCTCTATTAGTTGTATTATTATTATTACTACTTTGTTGTATCAGGAGTAATTATTTCACATTTTTATTTGTTATTTTACTGATTGTTGACCAAATTGTCTTTTCTTCTATTAGCGCCACCTGCTGCCTTACATTAGATCGCGGGTCTCCTGTCGATCATGTCAGGTTTATAATATTATTAAAGAAACTCGATCTCTTTTCTCAAGATCAAATACTGAGATACAACAAGCAGAACGTTTTCTGTGTTCTGTTACTATTATTTTATGCATTTTATTAACTGGATTACCACGAATTTCTTCAGGTGCTGTTTCTTGCTCTGTGTCAGTGATTATTTTATTATTATTATTATTATTATTATTTTTAATTCAGCGTGTTTAATTCGTGTTTTTAAATTTACATGAATAAAATATATATGTGCATTCTATTATGACCAAAAGGAATACAAAGCCATCAACAAAAACGAAGGTTTCCTCTTTTACTGGTGGTTTTACGTACTTATTTGACATTTGCATCTCCTGTTTAATTAAAGTTTTAAAATGGACGGCATTTCTGATTTACGGCCTATATCTTCTTTCAGCGTTTAAGTGAGGCTATATTTCATGAATGACAGGCATACTAATAAGGAAAATGTAGATCTTTCTGTCACACTACATTCTATATCACAAAAAGAAAAACACTACCACCAAATCCACAGAATATGGATGACGTATAATGGAAATCAAATGCGTCAGTCGCACACACATTTCGGTTAATTCGTTGAATCAGAAAAGCAACAAATACCGTAGAGCACTTTCAGAAGAGCACATGTGAAAATAAAACCCCAGGCCCATGGTCACTTTTTTCGTGTAAAACAGAAAGACCACCTTTTTTATAAACTGAAACCGACCCAGTTATAATTATATTTGTTCTGTTACATTATCACAAATAAAACTAGGAAGTCGGGGTAGATTTCAATTTATGTTGAATACAACACTTCACCTCTATGTGGCAGAAATGTTAAATATATTGGTTCGACTTCATAGAGGTGAAGTGTTGTATTCAACATAGGCCTAAACATCATAATGCGTCAATATGTCAAAATACATAAGTTAAGGTGCCGTTTTCAAAATTGTAATTAAAAATAGTCTTAGCAAGAAAAAAATACAAATGTACATTTCCTACAATTAATAGTGGCACCTTTATGGAGGAGTAGTGATCTCCAGCCTCCGTGTTTTTAAATGTAGCGCCGCATAGTGGCTGATTCATAGGTTGTAAAAATGCAGCTCTGTTTACACTTCCGAATCTATTTTCATAGGGAACGCGCTTTTACTCAAGTGTTTTGAATGCGCATGCGCAACATCACGGGGAAGGCAAAAATGAGCCTGCTATCAAAGCGAGTATAATAATTTTATTTTTATTTCACCTATATGTTCACATTTAACGTCTTGCTAGTATAATCATAAAATTTGATGGTTGTTCAAAAATCACTAAAACAAAGAAAAAACAAAATAATGTAGCTTGTTTTTGAAAAGGCAATGTATTGGACGCCAAAAACCTCCGTCAGTCGACGCGCAACTTGCGTTTGCCGAATGAAGGGTCCTTGCGGTGCATGGCTTACAGACGGAGTGGAAAGTAAATGGTTTATTGGAATAGAGTAACAACATACGCGCACCTTCTTACAGAGTTGTTTTCAAAGAAGTGATAGTATCAAAATCAGGTGAGAAGGCTGGTTGTATGTATTTCTATATAAGTACAATTTGTTGAATTCCCGTTGCTTTTTGCGGTTCTATTGAGGATAACATTAGCCAGCAATCTAACATTAGCTAAACGTGACGGATAGGTTATACAGATATAAAGCCATAAATGATTGTTTATTAAGTTAAAACGACGTAATGAGCAGAATATGTTTGCTGGATTGGCATGACCGACTTTAAAGTGGAGCCATTCGTTTGCATTCATTTAGTTTTCAGTATGCAGTGAGTTCATTCTTGTATTTGTAAATGGAGCTTAAGTGAAAGAGATCGCTGCAACTTTCAGATTTTTTCCATCATGGAGGCGGACCTGTACGACGAATTCGGAAATTACATTGGGCCAGAGCTAGATTCAGACGAAGATGATGATGTGGAAGCCGAGGATCGCGATGCCGATGAGGTAAAAAAATCTTGGCGGTCCCGCGACTTTAGTGCAACGTTAGCCAAAATGACTTTCTTGGATACGGTTTATGTGTCACTATGGCTGGCTACTTCCGCTTGGTATGTTATCATATAGTCCACCGTGTAACATTTCACATGTGTTTTGTCTCTAGGCAGATGAGGATGACGACGATGAGCAGGGAGATGCTGACGAGGATGTTCCAGGGATGGAGGTGGTGCTGCATGAGGACAAGAAGTACTACTCCACAGCAGAAGAAGTGTATGGGCCAGAGGTGGAGACTATTGTCCAGGAAGAGGACACACAACCCCTCACAGGTCAGCTGGACACAATCAAAAGTCAAACATGATATAACAATGATCAAATGTGATACAGTGATGAAAATAACTAATTTTGCAGATCTGTGATTTAAGAGTGAAGTTTCCTCACTTTTCAGAGCCCATCATCAAACCTGTCAAAACCAAACAGTTCACCCTGATGGAGCAGGAGCTGCCGGTTACAGTCTATGAAATGGAGTAAGCACCAAAGACATAGTTCCTCTTCTTTTAATCATGTAATATGTGCATTAACCACTAGTTCAGCCAAGCTCCCCTACCTAGTTGGCACTTGTACCCTTTTGTACTTCTGTGTAACCTGCTTTTCCATTTGGCAGATTCCTGGCAGACCTGATGGACAGTCCCGAACTGATCCGCAACGTCACGCTGTGCGGCCACTTGCACCACGGCAAGGTGACGAGTCTGTCGACGCTGCCGGCTTTTGGGCTTTGCCCGCCTGGCTTTCCCAAAGTTTGCCGTGCGACTCCCGAAATGCATTGACGTGTCTTGTTCCCCGTAGACTTGTTTCGTGGATTGCCTGATCGAACAGACCCACCCGGAGATCCGTAAGCGAGACGACTTGGATGTGAGTGTCCTGGCCGTGCGTCAAACAAGCGTTCTGAAAACGGGCCTCGCTTCCTCAAGCTGCATCATTTTGTCCCGTTTTCATTGACTTTGCTGATCGGCTTGATTGAAATGAACATTTCAGCTCTGAGTTTCTAGTGAACCTTTCGTTTTTCTGCTTTACCCTTGTTTTAGCTGCGTTATACGGACATTCTCTTCACTGAGCAGGAGGTGAGCCTTGTACAAATCAGAATGTCTGACTTGATAGTGTACAGGTTGTGTTTGCTGTGTGAATTAATGTTGTTTTTTCTTCAGCGAGGGGTGGGAATCAAAAGCACACCTGTTACCATGGTATTGCCGGACTCCAGGGGTAAATCCTACCTCTTCAACATCATGGACACCCCAGGTACAGAATGCACAGGCTGGTGCGGCGGAGGGGATTCTGGCAGCGAGTCCCTACGTCGTACAAAGTTCTCCTGTTTCTGAGGGCTTGCGGCTGACGTCTTGCTCATCTGTGCAGGACACGTCAACTTCTCGGACGAGGTCACCTCCGGGATCCGGATCTCCGACGGCGTCGTTCTCTTCATCGACGCGGCAGAAGGCGTGAGTGGCACAAAGCTTCTGCTTTGTGAAGAGGGCCGCTTGGGTCACGAGTGTGTCACTTCAGTTTTGAGTGTGAAAAGTGAATAGTGAGCAGGGTGTGCAGTTGTTAAGAATGTTGGTTTTCATGTACTCCATCCCATCATGAGACAGACATGTGTATATACAGATGAGGTGGGGGGGGGTTGGTGTCAGTGTACAGGCTCCGCTAGAGTTTATGAGTTCCTGTCTCTGAGCCGCATTCCAGAGACCATCCGGTCATTCACACGCAGCACGCGCCCCCTACAGGTGATGCTGAACACGGAGCGGCTGATCAAGCACGCCGTGCAGGAGCGGCTGGCCATCACCGTCTGCATCAACAAGGTGGATCGGCTGATCCTGGAGCTGAAGCTGCCGCCCACTGACGCCTACTACAAGCTGCGCCACATCGTGGACGAGGTCAACGGCATGCTCAGGTGGGCGCCCCCCCCCTCCCCCGTCACCAGCCTGTTCGGGCTTCTGGGCCAAGCTGACGATTTTCCCCCCCCCCACAGTACATACTCGACGGACGAGAGCGTGGTGGTGTCCCCACTCCTGGGAAACGTCTGCTTCGCCAGCTCACAGTACAGCATCTGCTTCACCCTGGGCTCTTTCGCCAAGATCTACTCCGACACCCACGGTGGGGACGGCTTCTCCTGCTGGCTGCTCGCTGCCCACCCGATCCCCCCCCCCACCACCACCGTCGTGCTGTAACTGCCATTTCACTCATAGGCTCTCTATTACTTTCCTTCCAGGGGACATTAACTACAACGAGTTCGCCAAACGTCTGTGGGGTGACATTTACTTCAACCCTAAAACGTAAGAATCCGCTCAATTTCACAATCTCTTCGTTTTATTAATCGGGTGACGGACCTAATGAGTCTGACTGGTCCACTTCGCATGCGTGCGAGTGTAACATTTCAGTCGATTATATGACACCCCCCCCCCCCCGCCAGGCGCAAGTTCACAAAAAAGGCTCCCAGCAGCAACTCGCAGCGAAGCTTCGTAGAGTTCGTCCTAGAGCCCCTCTACAAAATCCTGTCCCAGGTGAGCCCTGAAGGGCGTCCATCGAGAGGGCAGTCGGGGTGACTGACGTTTCTGCGTGAGGAGCCCCGTGGAATGTGCCGTCTTTACTGCCCCCCCCAGGTGGTGGGGGACGTGGACACCTCGCTGCCGCGGGTGCTGGACGAGCTGGGCATCCACCTGACGAAGGATGAGCTCAAGCTGAACATCCGGCCGTTGCTGCGGCTCGTCTCCAACCGCTTTTTCGGCGAGTTCACGGGTATGTTTGCCGCAGTTCCGCCCTCCGGCCACACGGGGGCCCTGCTCCATTCTGACCCGGCTTCGGACTATGTACCCTCTACACATGACAAGGAAGCTGAATGTCTGTTTATCAAAAATGCCTAAAATGGTAAACTGATGCATCAATAAGTGATTAGAATATGTTTTATAAGAATGATGAGGCAAACTTGTATTCATCTATTTCCTGAAATGGCTTTAGGAAACCCCTTTGCTTATGAAGTAGTAATGTCTTGGTACAGTAGCCCCTCAGTGGTGTTTAAAATGCTAATATCTATGTTTTCACAAACTGATGACCCCCCCCTTTCAAACAGGCTTTGTGGATATGTGTGTACAGCACATCCCTTCTCCTCAGACGGGGGCCCGGAGCAAAATTGAGCACAGCTACACGGGAGGCCTGGACTCGGACCTGGGGGAGGCCATGCTGGAGTGCGACCCTGATGTGGGTGGACGAGGGGGC